AAAAAAAAAAAAAAAAAAGAAAAAAGAAGAAGAAGAAGAAAAGAAAAAGTCTGTGAGGTCGTTGATCTATTGGAAACGGAGTAAAGAATAGTTAGACAAGAATAGATCGAGTTCCTCTCGAGGCGAACGTCCAGTAGACTCTCCACTGGAATAGGTTAATGTTACATAACGAATGAAATCTTCTGCTGAGCGAACAATAGCCTCATCAGAATTATCTGATGGATGGCTTTCGGTCCGGAAAATAGATGTCGGGTCTAGAATTACGACGACCCACATTAACCGATCTGGTTCAATGAACCACCATACTGCTGCTCTCCGCGTTTAAAGCCGCCAGTCTGAGAGAAACTAATGCAACACCGGGTTGATGAACTTTGATAAGACGAAACGCAACGCTTCGTACCTCCATTCGTAGGCTTGGTTCCGATATCGTCGATCTAATTCGACGCGGTTTAAATGATCGACGTTGATTCGACGTCGGTTAGAGACTATATCGTATCGATTTCAGACTTTTCGAGTGGTAAATTACACAGCTATCTCGGGAGACTAATCCCACTTTGGAGCATTCCGTTCGAGTTTCGTGCTATTCTAGAATTCTCGATAATCGTTACGTAACGTGGACAGAATGACAACGTTAAAGAACAAAATCGGCATCGTATCGAGAGAGAAGAAAAAACGTGTATTTTTAATTGAATGAGTCGGCCGTAATACCATAGAGAAAGGAAAGGAATGGCAGTGAAAAGCGACGGGTGGAAAGTGGATGTACAGATGCGTTATAAAAACTGCGTTCGTAGTTCGGAGATCGACGTTCTATCGATGTGTAACGCGGTGTCCGTTTGCTCGGCCGTTCAGGAAATTGCGTTTTTCGAGATTTCGTTTAGATTGTAGCGCTCGTTCTCTATCTTTTGCATACGGAACGGCCTCGATCGGGAACAACGGCAGGCTACACGGGAAAGAGACGCACGTGTTTTCTTTCTCTGTTTGCCGTTTTTCAACTCCTCTGGATACCTTTTTCTTTCCTCTTCACGAACATCCAACGTCTCTGTGTGTAGTAGTTTACCATGAAAAGACCGAGTACTAGCGATCGAACGCCCGGAAATAAAATAGTTTCTTTCCAGTCTTATTGAGAAAATTCAGAAAACGCTGCGTATCGATTGCCTTCTCCTTCAATTCTTTTTATCCCTCGTTTTGCATGTATTCGCGCGAATCACTTTGTCTTCCTGTCTTCCTGTCTCCCTGTTTCCCTCACCCGTTTCCATTTTCTTTTTCCCTGGTCCACGTGTACACGTATCTCGTAACGAGGCTGATTTCAGAACTGGATACCCGTTCCGCACGAACGACTCCAAGAAACGTGTTCTCGAATCCCTATCGTCTTCTTACCCTCTCTGTCTGCCGTTATACGAGAATGGCTAGACTTCAGTCGCTTCAACCCTATTGATAAAAACGTGAAAAAAAAGCTACAGTTAAATTGTCATTTTATCGACGATCAGAAGGAACTTCAAAAATATCAAAATTACTCGCCGCAGGATACACATAAAATTAAACACTGGACATTTACGAAACAAATTTTTCATCGTTTTATAACCATTAAATTGCTTGAATAAAAACTTCCGAATAATAAATAGGAATGTAAAACGTAAATGCTCCATGTATGTTCGTTGTTAACACAACAGGCACCACGTTTCTTTGTTGCATCAAAGACAACGAGATGCCATACTCATCGAGAATACATAAATAGTGTTCTCTTCCGACGTTCTCGTATGTTTTCGCAGTTTACTCCATTATAATCTTCAATTTTACCCTAATGATCCTCACTGGACTGTGCTTGGGCATTCTGCCAACTTGTCTGTTTCCGTTCACCAATTTCCTAAATTTCATGCCTCTCTGCCACGCACTATCACCGTAATTCTTGCCTTTATTTTGTATATCCTGTTTTGCGAGCTCAGTGCAACAACCTTCTGCTCGAGTTTTCCCGCATAAATCATATTCTGGAATTAAAGTTGACACCGCGATTCACCGTGTTCCAGAATGTTTCTTTCCGACATACACAGGAGTGTGATAAAAAAATTATTATCGCGATTGTGTCTTTATTGGTAAGGGTGGAAGATGGCCGGTTCCCATTAAGCGGCCAAAGGCATTGATTCGATGCAGTTACTCATTCTTAACCGAGGTTCACGTTGCAACGAAAACAGACCCGGAGTTGGAAGGCTACCGTTAATTTCTCTACGTCCAAAAGGGAGTAAATCGCTGTTCGACCGCTGTCGTTTTCCGAACGGACGTTGAAGTGTAGAAATGTTTTATGACATCGCCAAGCATTATCTGTCACTTAACGATTCTATTCTTGTCATAAAGTCACATATAGGCGATGTTTCCCTCGGACTTGTTGTAAAGGAGACTTTGTTGTCTCGTTCCTTCCTTTTATTAGTCTCTCGTATCTGCAGGCTGCGTTTCTTTCAAACGATTCAAAAGTGTCCTGTAGAGAATTCACTCGAACGTTAGAATTACAACTCTTCAAACGTATGTCGATGATATACACTTCTTTGATCAAAGATCATTGAATGGATCATCGAAATCCTATATAAATCGTGAGAAATTCAAATCTCTTAATCTCATCTTTTCGGTGTACCGTGAAACGTGCATCGTGAGTTGAGTCGAAAAAAAAGAAAGAAAAACAAGTTACGAAGATACTTGAAATCACCTCTGTGCGACAGACGACACGAGAGACACTCGAAACAATTCCTCGGTATGTGGATGAAACAGACAGGCATCAGCAAGGGAAAGACAAATAACGTTCCACCCAACGTTCCAGTCGATCGATTCGACGCAAATAATCGGAATTAATCGAACTGCGCTTTGGCTTTTAATCGCGACAAGAGCCAGCTTCGTCCCGTTACAAGAGAGACGAAACACAGCCCTGCAGGGATTCGAACTTGGAAGACGAATGTCGTCAAAGCGATTGCGAAACGCAACTTGTCTCTCCCTCTTGCTCTTGCTCTCTTTCTCTTTCTCTCTCTCTCTCTCTCTCTCTCTCTCTCTCTTTCTCCCTCTCCTACTCTTGCTACGCAGAGATTACACGACGATCGTACAGAATAATCTAAATAATCATCGTCTGCAGGGAAAACGCGAATCCTTGATGGCGGGCAACCCCTTCGTTAAAACGGTAGTAACATCATCGACGAACGTGGCCCGAGGCAAGCCGCGCATCGATCGATTTCGGCTATTAATGCCTCTCTCTGTCTCGTCTAACGATTTTATCCGACACGCTTGATAAGGAACTTCCTTGATATGCTTACCTCTCGCGAATCAATGAAAAATGTTAATCTATCAAAAACATTTTTATGTTTGCTTTACTGTACCAGTAAATTTCAACCTTATGTACTCGATCTGATTTCTCTGATCTCTAGATTCAACGGATAAAATGAATGGGAATATCGAAGAGAAAAACGAAAGATAAATATACTCGTTTCGTATTTTCTTTTTCATATTTATTCGCGTTGAAAATACATTTAGATATTAATATTTCCAGGTATATGAAACTCCGTTCGCTGGGTGGATTGTGAAAAATATAATTAACGCGACGCCGTTCTCTACGAACATTATTTAAAGAGGAGCCCCACGTCCACCATACTCCGCGCGGACGTAATCGATTTCCGACTTGTTAACGATTTCCTGCCGGCAATCAAATACATGGCAACAGCTTTTTTCCATCACACGGCGATAATGGACCGACGCATTTATGCAACTTGGACCACAGTTTAGATTTTTTTTTATCGATTCTTCTGAATTGATTATTCAAAGAAATTTACCACGCGATAAAATCGATGCGGAATATATTTTCGGAATATCGTACAAGATCAAATCGATAAGCCGAATAACACGAATCACTACTCATATAAAAATAATTTCCAATCCTCGACTTTGCATTGCAAATTGCAATATGCTTCCCGTTTGTTTAACCCATTTCAATTAGTCCTGATCAAATACAAGACGCTAGACGAATCTCACTGTATTTGAAACATATATTTCATTAGGAAACAACAGTTTGCTGCCGCCCTTCGCAAGGTAAATACTCGTAAATTCGTTAGAATGGTGAAAACTCGCCGATATAGTTAGGGAAACTCGTTGTGCTGTAGTGCGCAGTTATAGTTCGATAATAATTAGTCTAAATATCCAGGTAGGGAGAAATCAGGAGCTGCAAGTTTCTGATTTACCGGCTATAGAACTGGAAACTTCACCCACATCCAACTTGGCCGTTCAACTTACGGCCGTTGCACCCGTTATTACGCGTTTTCAAACATGAAGATAAAGCCTTTAATTCCACGACTTCAAATTCAGACGACTGCGTACCCTGCCTTGAAAACTATCGTTGTCGCAAGCTTCCAGTTAT